CTTCGTCGTTACGAAAAAAAAACACATTATTGTGAAAGATGCCGGTCCCTCTAATGCTATATTGTTGACAATTTATCAAATGGACACCATTTCATTACGCTAAAAGTCAGGCGCGGATACAAGGGGGGGCCATGGGGGCCATGGCCCCCCCTTGGCCGATTTAAAAAAAAAAAAAATAAAATAAAAAGTTAAAAAGTTAAAAAGCTGAAAAGGGGGCCTCCTGAAAATAAAGTGGCCGAAATCCGATGAGTTTTTTTTTTTAACCTACCCACTTAGTTATTTCTTAGAAGACTAGCTGAGAAGACTTCTTTGTTAGAAGATTGGTAAAGCTTTTCATAACTTGGAGGTCTCTTATACTCACAGAGATGACCACTTTTACAGGGCCTCCTAACCTGCACAGAGGGCCTCCAAGCCTGCACAGATGTTGAGATGTTGCCTGAACAGCTAGATAAGCTCAATAGACGCAGTTTTTTTTTTGGGGGGGGGGGCCAACAAGTGGGAAGATGGGGCCTCCAACAGGTGGGATTATGGGGGGGGCTCCTGGTTTCTAATGGCCCCTCCCTTGGAGATTTTCTGGATCCGCCCCTGCTAAAAGTGTTCCCCTTTTATGATTTTTAGCAATGTCTTGTGAGACATTACATGATGACATTATTACATTAATCCCAAGTTTAATTCCATAAAGTACAGATGCTCATTGCTCATAACACTAATGTTCTCCAAATTTACTCAGCTTAAGCATGGGTACCTTTTACAACTAACACCAAAGGTCATCTATTCCTAGGCAGCCTCCAATTTTCCACATACCCACTGAAATAGCGACGTGCAAAAAGTGAACAGCACGGTGCAAATCTGACACCAGCTGACCGGTCCACCTTTAGCCATTCCTCGCTCCACACAACCACAAAGATGGAGCCTGCGAGATGGTTGTCTAAATGTAGCCACGATCCATCTTGGTCGCACTTCAGGTGACAGCAACTCGCGGAGGCGCGGGCGGGCGCCGGCCGGTCGACGGAGGGCGGTCTTTGTCGAGTGAGAGAGGTTGAACTTCGGTCGGTACATACCAGGCGCTGTAGTTCTGCTTTTGCAGAGGAGCGGAAAAGTGTGGGAGGCGAGAAAGAGAGCCAGAAGAGTGGGAGGAGAAGATAAGATATGCACCAAAAGCAGGGTATCAAAAGATCGGAAGATAATTCGATAATTTGAATATTATATAATTTGATAATACATTCCTTGTCCCAGGCTCAACACCATCATAACCAGTGAATAACAGAACGGCATTAGCCGCCGCCGCAGCAGCAGCAGCAGCATAACCATAATTATCCCTAGCACCAGCGAGAGCAGCACCATCATGTTCACCACAACCAGTGGCAACAGCACCACCACAACCAACAGCATAACCATCAGCAGCGGCGGCCTCATCAGCCTCAACAGCACCATCACCACCAATATAACCATAACCGGCACCAGCAGCAGGAGCAGCAGCGCCATAACCGCAGCTAGCAGTATCATAAGCCTAGCCAGCACCATAACCATAGCGGCAGCCTCACCAGCCTTAACAGCACCAGCACCACCATAACCATAACCGGTGGCAGCAGCTGGTCACCAACCTCCCGTTGGTCTTATCGTTGCCCTAACCTGTTTGCCGTGTGCCCAAATGAGCTGATAGCAGCTCTGATACAGTCTATCGAGGATAGGTCAAATAGCCACCGGCTATCGGCGTTTGGAACACGAGCCGGGGAGAGGGGGGGAGCAGGGGAACGGGAGGTGGTGGTGTGAGCCGCGGTGGTAACCCCGCGCCTGACGCAGGGGAAGGTTAGGTGGTGGGGTGAGACGTGAGGCGCGGAAGGTGAGAGACAGAGTGAGAGAGAGAGAGAGAGAGAGAGAGAGGAGAGAGAGAGAGAGAGAGAGAGAGAGAGAGAGAGAGAGAGAGAGAGAGAGAGAGAGAGAGAGAGAGAGAGAGAGAGAGAGAGAGAGAGAGGCGGGCAGAGCGGACAATATTCGGGCCTGGTGATGATTGTCCTCGGACTCTCTGAATGCATGTCGTACACACAGGGAGCCCATCAACGACATAGAGACCAGCCAGCCAGCTCCAGGAGTGGTAATAATACCGGGTATTGAGGGATTACAGAAATGAATGCAGTTATATATTTAAATGCTAAGATGAAGTTCATTGTACTCAGCAAAGTCGCCGACAGTACTTGCAACTCGAAGTGGCACGCGTGCGTTCCGTCCAATTCATTCCTCATTCCGAAATTCACCGTTAAATTTGAAATTTCCATTGCTATTCAGTTCTTCACAATACAAAGTCCACAAAAGGCACTTTCAGTCATACTTTTGGTTACACATAATAAATATGAAGGACTGTTTGGCAATATACCAATATGTAACTATGTGTTACACACGAATATCGTGAACATTTTGGTAAAGATGGCGCATGAAATACGAATAATTGTGCAATGGTTTGACAATCATGCTCATCTCCCTATCAGTTGCCAACCAGTCAGACATAATGTCCCGATTCTTTACATATCCTTTCCCAGAATCGCGTCACTGTATCATGGTTAATGAAATTCTGGGGGCCTTTTTGTGCCGAAGAAGAAAAAAGCAATCACTACGTTTCCATGACACGTCTAAATCGATTTAGCGAAATTTCACGTGTGTTTTTCTCGGAAGCTATTTACCTTATACAAAAAAATGAACGTGTCTATGGTTTTAGCTAGCACCTAATCCTACATTTACATTTTTAAATTATGCCTAAATGCTGTGATGGAGCAAATCCATTTTGCAAGATAGGCATAGTAAGCTGATAGATCACAAATAGCGAGTGAACAATAAAAAATGACGACGAACGCGTGCCAACCCGATAAAAACAACGAACTACAACTGAAGAAAAACTAAAAGCAATTGACGGCTACGACTGATGAACGAAACAGTATCGAATAATGAATAAAGAGCAACATGCGAAACAACGAATAGAGACTGGTAAATGGAGAATAGCGAATAATAACTGAATAATAAAGAACAGCGACTGAAGAGTGACGAATGACGATTGACGATTGACTGACGACTGACGACTGACGACTGACGACTGACGGTGACGTTCGCGATGACAGCAACATTCTGCCCTAGTGATCTTTCTAATCAAATTCCTGTCGTCATTCCCCTGTAACACTAACGCACCGTAGCGCTCAGGAGAGTCTACCCAATCATTACTGAGCTCAAGGCGATGCCAATTATCCACCAAATGAAAACATCCGAAAATGTCTGAAAATATCTATGACGTACGCAGAGAAGCTAGTCGTAACATGGTAGAGAAACGAAATATAAGCTACTGGGTGCATTTGTCACGAGGGGGCTCGAGACAAGCACTAGATGTGCATACGTGCCATTTTCTTGTATAGTTACATTTCCATTGTGCAAACCAAAGATTCGTCATAATTATATGAAACATTTGCCTCCGATCTTTTGTCTGGCAATTGGATAGGTATTTTGGATACATGTATTTTGGATACTGGATAGATATTTTGGATAGGATGGCAATTTGGATAGTTACTGCATTCATGTTTGTATACATTAGTGCTCTGCTGCTCCCTCCCCTCTTTCGCCCCTCCCCCTTCCCCTCTCCCCTCTCTGAGGCTAGTCCCAGTAGCACAATACTTCCCCAGCTGGGCCGTTCCCAGGCCTGAAGACTACTGTGGCGCACCAATCGACCACAGGGGCAATAAATGACGCGCCACAGACGAAGGCGGCGCAGACACTCGGCAGCTAGCGGTTCTCATGGCAATGCTACGCGGCGGTGACACAATCGACAATACCCTAGCTCAGCTCTCAAATGTAGCTACTGCCTAGTCTTGCGTTAACGCTAATTTCCTAAACGCGCCCGGCTAATGAATTTGTTCAGGTGGCGAGCCATCGGTTGGGATACACAAACCTAGCTGAGAGTTGTGTTAATATTAGCTGAACATTCATTAGTGCAGATCCGGTTTGCCCTCCAAGAGTCCCCTCGTGCTATATTTGGGCAAATTGTTAATTTAAGCATCCGGTAAGAAAGCTTTTGCGCACACCTGTGCCTTCTGCGAAGGTGGAAAAAGTCAGTAAAAATAGGTCAAAGCTAGAGAGGATGTAGATTGTAGGTGCTAATTAACCATCGCCAGACTTAGCGGTGCTATATGAACCATAGGCGGCGGAACGGGGAGGGCACCGGGGCACCGTGCCCCCCTTTGATTTTTGCATTTTAACATTAGCCCTATGGGCGTTGCATGGAAAGAATGGGACCAAAAGTCGGCGGTGCCCCGCCCCCCTTAATTGAAGGTGTTCCGCCGCTACTGATATGAACACCTTTTAGCCAAGGAGTCGGGTAAAAAGTGGTTCAAAACAGTCACCAGTTTTTATTTATCAATCTACAGCTTAATAATGCATTATCAGAGTCGACACTCTAGCCGTCGTGCTTCTGGAGGCAAAACATTATATGATACACTGCGAAAAAAACGATCACCTGGTTATAACAAAACTCTCAAAGCTGGGTGTTCATCAATTCACCAGCTTTTAACAGCTCCAGCCAATATTTCTCGACCACTGAAAATACCAATTTTACAGCCCTAGTAGCTCACGCGCCCCATCAACCGGTGCACCTGCGCCCCCGCCGAGCGGCTTTATTGCGTCGGCCCGGCTCTGGGTCGCTCAATGGTGGTTTAACGCTTCCAGTGAAAATCGGTCAGCCAATTGCACATGCAGAGCTCAATATGTGACACTTGTGAGTCAATATTGAAGTAACGTGCCGACGATGGAGAATCAATAAATGGTAGCAGTTGTGTATTTGAAAACCAATGTGTGAATGGTGAAGACTTTAAAGTTTAAACAAATGGATTACTATGAGAAAAGATCTTCTTTGTGATAAAAATGTCGTCACCACATCATAGCATTACATGAATGATGTGATTTAAGTCACTGAAGGGAGTAAAAAACTAAAAATCATAGCTGACACTGATGAGAACACAGCTCACCTGAATTTTGTGTATCTCTCGGTGCAGTTTGGACACCTCATTGTCCTTTCTGGAGACGAGTCGTTTGGCCTCACTAAGCTCCACCTCCAGCTGCGCGATCCTGGCGTCCTTCTGCTTGATTTCCAGCTGTGAAAGAAATAGACTCGTAAGACACTAACATACTGCTGCATTTTACAGCTTGGGAATCCATCGGCTGAACACGTTGGGATAAAGATGGGCGCAAAATGACCTTGTAGTCGGCCCAATAAACAAACAAACGTCGGGATAAAGGTTATTTTTATTTGCGAACAATTGCTTGTGGAAAAACAGCAAGGTAAGGCAAATTGTACTACCACAACGATTTCTTCCGTGCCTTTAATTATATCAACTGTTTCACGAAACAGACTGACATCGGTTAATGGAACCGCATAGGTATGTGCCACAAAAGCACATTAATGACTGCCCGCAGTCGTCAATGAGTCATCACCTTCAAAACGTTCCATGTTTTATCTCGACATTTGTTTACGCGGCGGGCACAGGACACGACACATCAAATACCCTATGATAACACGGACGTGAGGTAAAGTCAGCCCATTTGGTTTGTGTGTCAAAAATGCAGCCTGCTCCGTTTATTATCGTTGTCGAAAGCATACACGAACCGCTGAAAAAGAAAACTTATTTATTCGCCAGTAAACATCATCAATATACGTCAAACACAGGCTTACCGGAAGATACCGTCTGCGGCAGGCACAAAATCCAACAGCTAATAGCTGAAAAGTTTGGCTAAAAAAATAGCAGGCGGCGAAACATGAAAAGAATAGACTTAGTCTGCATTAGTAAGTGATGGATACTCTGGAGTATACAACAGAGCACTTTGTAACTAAAAACTGGAGCGAGTTCTGTGGAAACAATCTAAACCATATGCATTAATAGATTCATATTCTTACGCAAAATTTCACAGCACAAAAAATGACCGCTTCTTGCGTAGCGATATGGAGATGCTGTCAATGCAAAAGCTTTAGCCATTAATACCTAATTCATCACAAAACATTTGAGTTAACTGCCACCTCACTGATGATGATGAACTCCAGGGGATGAACTCCACTTTATTGATGGATGCTGCATTCATCATTCACGTTACATCCTTGCTCATTGTCCCCGCTCCTCTCATTACTCCCAAACTCTCACTCTCTCTCTCCTCCCCTATCCATCTCTCCCCACGAACCTGAATGCACCGACCAATCAAACCGCCAGGTGCGCCCCCCCCCCTCCAGGGGGGGGGGGGCGATCGATAGTGGTCACGCCTCGCCACATCGGTCGGAGGTCGATACATAAGTTCACTTAACGCCATCAGTAGCACTGGTGTGCCAAAGTCGAGTTAATGGCCGCCACCGCCGCCGCCGCCGCCGCCACCGCCGCCGCTGCCGCCGAGCCAAGCTAGTTCTGGTAGAGAGCTTCGTTCCGCTGAGACGGCGGGTACGCTCGACGCGACAACGACAGGTCATCGATGGTGACGCAGGTAACGACGGTAACGATGTCGGTAACGACGCTAAAGACGACGAAGACAAAAAACGACGGTAACGACAACGACGAAGGCGACTAAGATAAGCGATGATGCTGATACTGGCGATGATTGTTGTGACGACAGCAGCGGTACGGATTTAAACGCGGTCCATCAGACGGCTAAGCGGCCCGGGCGGATGGGCGGATAGCTGGGACGTTGTCATTGAGGCTAGTGGTTGTCATCGATGACGATTTGGTGTCATTGGTCAGTGTCAGTGTCATGTAAGTGTCAGAGAATGTCAGTTATCGGTGTCATCAATGAGGGTCATGACTGGGTGCGATCCATTTGTGTCATCCATTTGTGTCGCAAGTGAGGGTGTCATCAATTTATGTCATCGTTCGATGGTATCACTCAGATGAGATTGGTTAGTCATTTGTAGGACAATGAACATTAAAAATGTACCAACGACACGTGTCTTTGTGCGCATTGAATATCACTTATTTACCAACGGCCTGTGCCATAATGTCATTAACACTTTGCGACAATTAAAAGTCCGTCATTGGGGTTATCATTTTGCTTCACCATTTATCACAAACGAACAGCATTAGCTTGTCATTTGCCTGAGTCCAGTTTTAGTCATCGGGGGCAAGAACTCTATCACAAGGAGTCCCAAGACATTGCTACCGGTGCACAATCATTGATCCTATCGCCCCATGTCTTATCCCATCCCATCCCACAACTCCATCCCATGTTTTCCAATCAGTTCTATATATCCCTACATGCGAAGCTTCCTATCAGGGGTGTCGATTTTTCAAAATGGTTGGGGGTGCTCAACCCCTGCACCGGGTGAAAGATTGCAGCTCTGCCATGGGGCACAACCGCACATACAAGGCATGTTTGGGTATCTTCATAAGGTACCTACTGATAACCCGCGAGTTGCTGGGGGGGGGGGGGCGTTAAACGCCCCCACTTTTTTCGCCGGGCATAGCATAAAAACGGCGCCTGTAAATTTGGGTACCTGTAGGGAATCGATTGAAGTTTATTGTGACAAAGTTTCAAAAAAATCGGTCGGAAAATTTTTGAAATATCGAGGTTTTAGTGACGTCATGATTTCTGAGTTTTCGATCAAAAACGGCATATGTTCAAAAAATCATATAAAATCACAGAATAGACATACAGACATGTCGTAAACGCTATTAGACTGCCAATACCATGAACAATCAAATGGCTATCTTCGATTATTGATTATCGTTCCGCATTTTCCAAAATCTTGAACTGAATCTTGGCAATTTCTCGTTACTACTTACCGACCATGATACATGCATTTCTTGAATTGAACTTTTTGAGCCAAACACGTACACATATGATAAAATGAACGTCACCATCGTGTTCTACGCCCCAAATTACCCATAAAACATGTGCCACAGGCTGCGAATATCAGTTTTGATTTTCGGGGATATGTGCCTACCTGGTTGACCTGACCTTGACCCTGACCTATGCTTGACTGACCCCTACATGGAGCTGACACTCTTGTAGGCCTTATATGATGGATTGTGCACCGTTTTGACAGAGTTTATGATGAGAGGCGCCCATTGCGAAGTCCTGAAGTCCATGCTACTGAAAGCCCAATTTAAGGTATTTGACCTGACCTTGACCCGACCTGTGACCTCAAAATTCAACTTTAAAGTACTCTTCTGAAGCGTCTCGTCGCGTTCTTTCGTTTGCCGCCTCGTGCGTTTCGCTGCGCCTATTGGTTCTCGAGTTATCAGCTGGGGGCGTTTAACGCCCCCCCCCCCCCCCAGCAAACGGTGGGTGGCGAAATACCCCAGCAACTGCCGGGATAATTCCGGGATTTCCACTAATATTTCCCAAAGGTTGAACGTTCTTCAGCATCATTCTGCTCGTCCTGGTAGGTACTTGGCTACCTTATTACATAAATATGTCTCCGAAAAAAGTCGTACATTTGCCGGCAGCTGGTTGCAGCCCCGGCACCTCGGTAATAAGGGGTGAGACTAAATGCTTACTCCGAAATCTAAGCTGTGTTGCGGCATTGGCGGTTATGTGCGGCGTGTATGCCGCATGATTAGTAAGCGGCGACCACTAAATTAAAGACTTAAACGCCCAACCTGTTTTCAATGAATAACACTGCATACCAAAAATGCCAATCGCTCTCGTCATAAGATATTTAGATTTAAATAACTAATTTATCTGCATCATCATTTTGAACCAAATTAATGCTTTCAACTTAGTACTCACTCATTCCTTCCTTCGTTGGCTCCAAACAGTACTTCGATTGTCTGGAAATCGTATGCCAAATCCCGCACCTGTATACGACTGGTGCATATAAAGGCTGATGTAAGAATTTCAATAGGCTCTCGCATGCGATTTCCTGGCTACCCAAAAAGTCTGTTTCAGTCATGCTATCAAAACATGGTATGTCAGCCCTCTCACCAGCTTGTAGTGCCCCTGACCGTCACCGACTCCCTTCCCTCCTTAAAAGTCTAGTTTCCCTCCATCATCTCTACTAGATTTAGGTGATGCTCCGACAAATTCACAAACAAGACCTAACTTGTTCGGAGTTCGGACTGTGAGTTAACCCTCGCCCTTTAGGGGGGGGGGGTGGTCGAACGGACTCCCTCGGTTTTTCGCAAATAACTCGCGTAAAAAGCGGCCGATCACGACGTAACTTTTAGTACCCTCGCGTTGATCAATTTTACACCTACCCTGAAAATTTCATGACCCTGACGCAAATAACCTTTGACCTGTGACCTACTTTTCGAGACCATGTTTGGCCGGAACCACGATTCAGCGTATGTCGGCTCGCATTAGCAGCGCGTTTGCAGTCTTTTCGTGGTTTCAAGCGTTCAAACATGTGATATGATGTTGCCCCCATGCATTAGGTTGGGTGTCAAGGTCACCTGAAGGTCAGGTCAGGTCATTGACCTTTGGTGGCCTCGGTTCACTTTTTCGAGTTTGACATGTTTCTAGGCCAGTTTTTTCGAGCTGAATTTGAATTAAGCAACCACATGAACGTTTACAAAGTAGTTTTGGTGCCTTCGTAACATGTTACGAGGCTGTCAGAGGCGATTGACACGGTCTACTACAAATACCCGGCAGGACCTCTACTGGTTGACCTGACCTGACCTAACCCGACCTGGCCTAAATGAATAAAGACATCATCTGTGATCAAAACTAGCATGATATTCGTGATCAGCACCCCGAAAAAAACCCATAGCAGCCACACTACGACGTTCTAACAGGTTCCAATTTTCCCGCCTTTTGGGTCATTGCCCTGACCTGGAAGGTCAACCGATGACCTAGGACCTAAAAATTGGGTATCATCGACTTCCTCTCGTCACAGGCAGCACGCTCGTTTTTTCCGCGAAGCTCTAGCTTAATCAGGAGCGAAACGGCAAGGGGTTATACCTTATACGTTCGCGGCTGGAAACACCAATACGGGCGAGGGTCAAGTTGAAAGTATTAATTTGGTTCAAAACAATGATGTAGATAAGTTAGTTATTTAAATCTAAATATCCTATGACGACACGAGAGCGATGGACAGTTTTGGTATGCAGTGTTATGCATTGAAAGCAGGTCAAAGCTATTGAGTTTTTAATTTAGTGGTCGCCGCTTACTAAT